GTAGCATGGCATAGACAATTCACGTTTGCAGTTTGAAGAACACCTGCTTGCTTCTGATGATTTCCTTTAGCTAACCAATGAGTGTTTGCGTTATATGACTCATCCAATTACACTAGTTTTCACTAGATGTAGATGGAGCCAATGATCTGCATTGTATGGTGCACATGACGTGAAATAAATATTTATAAACATTAAACCGAAGCCAAGAGTAACAAGTTATATTTGTTTTAAAAATGTAAGGAATAGAAAGTACAGATACTTGTGTGAAAATGTAATGAGTAGAAGTAGGAAGCAAAATAAGTAATGGAGTAAAGTATAGATACCTAAAAAGTGTACTTAAGTACAGTAACAAAGTATTTGTATTTTGTTACTTGACACCTATGAATTTAATAATAAAAAATAATATAATAAGTAACTAATACATATTCCGTAAAAGTTTAAAAAACAATCCACTGGACTTGCTTTCCAAGATTTGAAGACGTTTCGCTTCCCCTACAGGAAGCTTTCTCAATTCAAATGTCTGGAATCGCAGTGAGTTTGAGTCTTATATAGACAAGGCCTTGTATTGTTTGGAAACATGCAAATTGAAACATGCAGACTCTAACTCACTGCGGATCTAGACATTTGAATTGAGAAAGCTTCCTGGAGGGGAAGCGAAATGTCTTCAAATCTTGGAAACCAAGTCCAGTGGATTGTTTTTTAAACTTTTATGGAATGACTATGACCTGGATGACTGAGAATCTTCATCAGCATAACTAATACATACTAGCAATCCATTCTGAAAACTAATCAAATCTAACCGAGTTGGATTTTTTAAACTACATTCAGTCATTCACTCATACACTAATGGTGGTAAACTACAATGTAGCCACAGCTGCCCTGGGGCTCACTGAAAGAAGCAAGGCTGCCGTACACTGGCGCCAATAGTCTCTCTGACCACCATCAGAGTTGTTTTGCCCAAGGACACAACGGCACTGAAAGTCTGAGCCGGGAATTGAGCCATCAGTCCTTTGATTTCAGGGCAAACTCCTTCATCTGACGTATGTTGATGTAGGTTCTCAGTCATCCAGGTCATAGTCATTCCGTAAAAATTCAAAAAATACCCACTGGACTTGGTTTCCAAGATTTGAAGACGTTTCGCCACCTCTCCAGGAAGCTTTCTCAATTCAAATGTCTGGATCCGCAGTGAGTTTGAGTCTTATATAGACAAAGCCTTGTATCGCTTCGAAACATTCAAATGGTAACCGATGAATGGGTCGTTTGGTTCCATCGTTAGACTGTAATATCTGAACCTGTCTATGATTCTGAGGGTCAGTCGTTAATGGGGGGGGGGGTTTGTCTCTGTAATACCTGAAACCTGTCATCTGACTCCACTGTCGCCCCTAGAATGACAATAGTAAAACTACGGTAATCTTGATCATCAGTTTCTTATTAAGTAGAAACTGGGATGGAAGGGCTGCCATAGATGTAGAGATGAACACAAATGCTGATCTTAAATCTGTCCTACAAATTTATCTTATTTACATGAACAGAAGAGCTGTAAAAATTTAAAAGTACTGTAACCCACCAAATATTGAATCCAACAGGTCCTTTTCACACGATGATATGTAAATGACCTGTAATTAGATGGACTGAGCAGCTATAAGACCTGCTTACAAAGGTAAAAGTAGCTTTGCCTGCACCCAGTTGGTTCATTTATGTTCATTCTGAAGCTGAAAAAAAGCCAGAAACCTCCCAGTAATACTGATAGCAAGTCAGACGCTATCTGCTCCTCTCTGGGGAAGCCCTGTACCACGTCGCCGCCTCTGATCCAGTGACATATTTACAGTACAAAGGCTCGACTCGAGTCCCCTTCACACACATACAAATGTACTCACAGAGATAAAAGGAGTGGCTGATTTAATTAGCTCAATCATTAAATGAGGCTTAATTAGTCACTTTCCTTCAGAGAGGAGTTGAGCACTCGGAGCTGTTCCCTGTCATTACGGCGACATAATGAGCCTCGCAGCACAATATGGGCCTCAAAGCACCAACAACAATAGGAGAAAAGTTTCCCAGCACGTAGGAAGTGTGCGGAGAAACAGGCGGCGATGTGCTGAGACGGTGAATGTAAAATCCCAACGCGGCGAGGAGCATTCCACCGTTTACGGTTTAACCACCAGGAAGAGAGCAACAGCAGAGTCCTGTTAGGGTCTGATAAAGGCTGGAAATTACTGCCATCATTTCAGCCTTTCAGACCATCGATAAATGCCTTTGATGTTTTATAACAAGAGCCTTCAGATTGGAGCGAGCTGTCTCCACCGCTCTCCTAATGTAAGGTTCACCTGCTTGTTATAGCTGGGAGGCTGATAAGAAGTGATGCCTGTAAGTCTCCCCAGGGTGTGATTGCGGGGTAAATATTAGCAGGCCCTCAGCGCCACCCTGCACCACTAAAACAAACCACTGTCCTCTCATAAAGGAATCAACAGACTCAATGACTTTTTAAATGTTGTTATGCTGTCATGAGGCTTGAGATAGGCGTGTGCGTGCAAAATGAGTGTGAAAAATTATCTGGAGGGAATGTGTGTGTGTGTGTGTGCAGACATGCTTGTCCTGTTCATTACTGGCCAGCAGCAGAAGCCAGTCATTTCCCTGTCTTCATAAAGACCCGGCCCATTAAATTCTACCTCCAGTCAATAATTAGGACTCCACAAATAAACCAAAGGCAATTAAATCAATGCTTCCTTGGGCTGATGCCTGAATCCCATGGCCCTCATGGACACTCCATCTTCACCGCTGGTCTTATTCATGGTGGGCTGCGGTGGAACCACACAGTGCACCCCCTGGCCTGCTCATGATTATTAGGCAGCGCTGTCCCGTGATCCTGGCTATGGTAGTGCTGCATATGGTGGCCCTCTCTTGGGAGGCATTCCGCTTGATTTCATTAACTCGTCGGCGGAGGTGAGGGAGGGCGAAATGAACGCAATGTTTCATCTCTTTTTGAGTGGACATGAGGGGAAGTAAGGGGGGTGTTTGCACAGAGAAATTAACAGGCGGTTGGAATCGGATAATTCAACGCTTAGCAGATCGGGAATGGTGATCTGTCGGACAGAAGCTAAAAATCTGGACTTCTCTTGAAAGCAGCACCGGCCTGTGCTGACAAAAGGTGAAATGGTTTATTGGTTTGACACTTTTAAACTTTTAAAAAGGAAAGGTTTAAATCTGGGCTGCACTTCAGCAGACAAGATTTGGAAATGGCAAAGCTACTAGCTAATGTTAATTCTGTGTTTATTGTTTGCTTTGAAGACTAAGAAAGAAAAAAATCAGTTATGGAGTAATTTTATTGACTAAAAAGACTAGTTCAAATGAAAGGTTTATACCAGAGGTCACGGATTAGTGAACCGGGGTCCGGATCCGGACCCACCTGCTGGCTAATCCAGACCCAACCAGATTTAAAAAATTTATAAATTACTAAATGTTGTCCGACGACAGTGTCAAACCTTTGGCAAGCCGGCCGATGAGAAAGAAGGAGAAGAAGATGAGAAAAAGAGCAGAGAAAGTGTGGACTGCTGGAAGAACTGCAGTGAACTGGTGAAAGAAATGTGAAAAAGGTGTGTTCAAAGATAATCCTGCACATTTAGAGGATGTTTGACTCAACCTGCTGCTGTGAAGCAGGATTCTCCACCATGACCATGATCAAAAATATCGATCCAGGCTTTAGAATGGCTTTGTCACCAATCAAAGCCAGGTTTAAAGCCTTGCAGGTCAACGTAAATCCCACTTCTCTCCTTAAGCCATAAGAAAAGAAAGAAAAAACAAAGCGGTCAGTTCAGGTGTTTTATAAAAAAAAAAGTGAGTCAGGAAATTGTCTATATATCAAACTGAACAATTGTTGTTCTGTACTTAAAAAACACTTTAAATTTTAAAATGGAAAAACGTTATTTTATATCTTTTTATTTAAAACTTAATTGTATTACATGGATGAAGAAAAAATTGTATTACATGGATAAATAAACACCTTAATTTTATTTCAGTGTTAAATGCTGTTTAAAGTAACGGATTATAATTAAAAATGTCTCTGAACCTTTACTACTAGTTGGTGATTTTCTTTATTCAGACCCTGCTGATTTTTAATTGTTACCCCGGCTTATACCATTATTTAAAGGGCAATAATGGAATATGTTATTTGGACAAGCGGCAATGCCTGACAGTGATTGTAAACAATAACCTGCACACACTGGAAGCCCCACACAGCGTGAGTGATGGCGTGGCTATTGACAGGGCCACTGAGATAATAAAGTGCTGTCCCCCTGGCAGCTCCATTAGCCACTGACAGTGACAAGGTGAGGCTGCTGCAAGTTTGCGGATATATGTAGACACACACAGCCCCTTCCTCTCACACACATATGGGCTCATCCTGTTTCAGTGACAGGCCAGTCAGTTAGGGACATGGATCCCTCATCTTTCCTTTCACTGACTCTATTTTTGTCTGTGTCTTTTCATCAGTGCACCCCTGGGTATGATCACTGTTAGGAAAGTGTGTTATTAGTGTCACAGGGAAAGTGACAGGCCACACCATTTCACTTCCTCCATGTTATGCTTGCTGAGCTTTTTATAAGTTGTGACAGAGAGCAGAGAGGCTAGAATGAAGGGTGGAGGGAAAGTCTTTGTAGGAGATCTTTGATTCTAAGGATGGGGAAAGGATCACTAGCACTGTTGCAGGGGCTTCCTGTTGATGTGCTTTTCTTTAAAACAAACTATTTCAGTGCTAAGCTAACCATAAGTAGCAGCTACCAATAGTCTGTGTTTCATCTCAGACAGTGGATTTTGTGCCATAAACTGGAACCATTTCAGCACCAACACTTTGATGGGCCCTACTCCCGTCTAGGCTCCTTAGATTATGGGGAGAAAAGAAACTGAAACGTTGTGATATTTATGTTGAAACCCCCCCTCCTTCCCTTCCTTTCTTGGGAGTGACCTCCAGTGGAGGATAGTGCATGGGTCAAAAGCTGCAAAAACGTAACAGCCACACCTTAACCCTGACACTAGTTCTTTCTGTCAAGATTGTTTTCAGGAGGAGATTTTGTATCAGGTAATTATTGAATGTTAAATGTCGATCCCTCTTTTTGTTCTTTTGGATCATCTGCTGGATTTGGTAGTTTTCTAAATGTGTTTTTATTTGTGATCCTCTTTGTGCAAAAAATAACTATTTTGAATTTCATCTGTGGGACTGCAAAACTAGTAACATGGATGTCATGGAAAAACAAGGTAAACGGACATCAGGAGAAATACGCCTGTCTTTTATTTCAGTGACTTGTAGTTGCTCGAGTTTTATTTTTTTTAAGTCGACAAAGAATATAGATGCATTTGTACGTGTGGTATTAATGATGTTTTGTGTAACGTGGATGAAGCATCTTTAGATAACATAGATTTTGCTCCTACAAATTTTTTTCCCAAATAAAGATGTTTGTATAACTTTCCATGATATTTGTAAAAAATATTTTTTATATAGTAGTATGTCTTGCATCAAGGGTTTAGTTGTCCTTCCAAGACGCCCATTATAGTTTGCTGGATTCTGCTTTATTATCCTGATGGAACTGCTGTACGCCTGTACCTGGGTCAGGTTTGAACATTGCATTGTTAGGAAAAAAATGTTCAGTTCTGTTATAAGGAATCGACACCAAGACATCAAAATTACCTCTTTGTTACTCATTTGTTCAATTCAATTTAATTCACTTTATTTCTATAGCACCAATTCACAACAAGTCATCTCAAGGCACTTAACAGTTCACCAGATCATCCAGTCAAACTGATTCAAAGTTTTCTATCTAAGGAAAACCAGTTGATTGCATCGACTCATTGACTCAAATACAATCCCTCACACTAAGAATGCTTGTAGCGACAGTGGAGAGGAAAAAACTACTTTTTAAGAGGAAGAAACCTCCAGTAGAACCAGGCTCAGTGTGAGCGGCCATCTGCCGAGGCCGACTGGGGTTCAAGGAGACAGAAGCAGAGATACAAAAAGCAACAGTATCTTTGTTGGAATGTCCTTTTTAAAGGCCCCACTTCTGGCTGTCATCCAACACTGCCTTCATCAATTTCGCATGTCAGGGAAAATAATGATGTATCCTTCTGATGTCATCTATTTTTTTCAAGTGCACCAGACCCTCCTACTGCTAGCGCAGCCCACAGCATGACACTGCCACCCATGTTCTTTATAGTTGGGATGGTGTTCTCAGGCTTACAATCCATCCCCCTTCAAACTCCAAATAACAAGATGTCTGTTATATCAATCTCCACATCTTCAATCGTAATCCACTTTTTTCTGTTGATTTTGGAGTAAATAATTTCAAACAGATAAACATGACACATTTAGCCATGTGGAAATCATGTCCAAGGTTAAACCAAACTTTTAGATTTTTAGGATCCCCTTCCTTTTTTCTGTGATGTTTTCCATTATATCAAAGAAGCGAAGCTTTTATGTGTGTGTGTTGTACGTATGTAATGATGTGATGTAATTTTGATGCCTATCTTGGCCAGGTCTCCCTTGCAAAAGAGATTTTTAATCTCAATGGGTATTACCTGGTTAAATAAAGGATAAATAAATAAAAAAAATAAATAAAAAGAACAGAGTGTGTTAGAGGTGCAGCCTTCAAGCACATCCACAGGTGGGCAATTGAACGGAAGGAATTCTTATTCACCATAAATAAAGGTCAGGCAATAAAGTAAAAATTTTCTAGAAGTTTATCTCATATCATTCAGAGGTTTAGCAAAAATAGCTTATTTTTCCAAACTGACTGAAATCAGGGAAATTGCTTTTCTTGGTCCAGGTAATGATATTGCTCTGAGTCAGTTCTAAAGAGGTAGTTTTGCAGAAATGCCTCTGATAAAGCACTAAAAAAGCTTGGTGGAAATAAAATCTTAGAGTCCTTTCAGATGGCAGCAGACAGAAGAAATGAGGCAACAAGGATCTACTAACTGAAAAAAACGTAACCCAATTAGAAGGAAAAGCATAAGGACAGAGTGAAGTCCAGAGGACATGAAATTATAATAACAGAGAGAAAAAAACAAAAATACAGACCGAATAAAGGTAAAAATAATAAATACACACAAAAAAACTCAACAAGATGGACTTGAAAGGGGATAGAAAAAGTCTGATTCAGTGAAGGGGGATGACTGCAGTGGTCCCAGCGGTCCCTGCAGGGACCTGGGGGCAAGTCTCAGCCTTGTCATACGCGCCTTTTCTCCTCCTCCACTCTGCTCACCAACTCCAGTCCCCCCCCTCCACCTGCTCCACCGCCCCTGTTCTGCCCACGGAAAACGTCGATAGCAGGCTGCCGGTGCCGAGGTCTCTGGTGGACACTAGCTCATTCTCCCGGCATCGACAGGCCCGCCAAATCAATATTTAGTTCCCCACTAACAAGCTGCCTCGGGGTCTGAGCCAGAGAGAGAGGGAGAGAAAGAGAGGTGTGCGGGACAGAGGAGGACGGCAGAGAGAGACAGAGCAGGGACTGAGAGCTGTCCAGCTAGAAGGGAAAAACATGGATTCAGTGGAGTGCTGTGTGTGTGTGTGTTGGTGTGGGAGGGGGAGAGGAAGGTGGAAAGGTCAGGAGAAGATCTGGGGAACAAGAGAACAGTGTCTGCTGTGTGTCGTGGTGCGGAGGCGACGCATGAGTGCCTGCAGCAGTTGCTGACATGAACACAGACAAGGCTCACACACACACACACTCCACGCTCTCAATCATACCCGTATCACAGCGAGCAGACGTTGACAGTGCTCAAGCAAAGCTCCAGCAGAGCACTCACAGATGAGTGGCTGTGAGCACACAAAGGCTCCAGCAGTGAGGATGTACTCGGCCGTCTTTGTTTCATCTTTTGAATCATTGTTTTCGAGCCTGAAGCAGGATCATCGGGGTGGGAACTCAAATTCTGCTTCTATTTACTGTATTTGCGTGAACCTGGTGCCCTAATTCTTTTCCCATTCAACACTGACAGCGCTGTATATTTACAAATCTAAGCTCACATTTATAGAAATGCCAACATCCTCAGACAGAAGCACAAACAATAGAATCTGGAAGTATTTATAAATCATTAGGTCTAAAGGCTAAAGTTGAGGTTTTAATGAACATAAAACATAAACTTTTTTAAATTTTTATCTTTTCATTAAATGGGTTTAGTAATTACATCCTATTTTATATGACTCCATATAATTGAACCCTTTTGACATAGAAAAACAATGAAACCACTGTTTTTGATGAGGAGGCTCCAAAATAGTCTGCAAACATTACAATCCAAACAGCAATTATCCCTTCATTCATGTTAAGTAAAAGTTATTTGAGCTGTTAAAAAAAGGCATAATATTATCTGCGAGATTATATAAATGCCAACATTGCTTAGATATACAAGTCAACTGTTCCATTCCTTAAAGAACTCATTATTTTATTTCTATTTTTAGAAATCTTATGTTCAAAGATTAAAAATGAAACATTTGCAAAAGAGGATTCTCTTTAATAGAAACCTCTTATTGCAAATGTTGATTTTGGATGTAAAAAAAACAAACAAACATGCACTGTTTCCAACTTTAAGACATTTATGGTAAGAAATGAAAGGCCACTCAGAGAGGAAGAAGCCATAACTCCAAGAGCAGATTACAGTTTTCTAATGCACTCAAAGACAAAGGTCCTAATATTTGAGGGCATTTCCTCAAATATATATATATATATATATATATATATATATATATATATATATATATATATATATATATATATATATATATATATATATATACACATTTTAACTTATTTTATTCTATTTTATTGCATTGTGTTTTTGTATTTTAGCTTTTACGTTTTTACCGTATTTCCTACAACTATGATATCTGTGCAGCACTTTGGTCAACCCTGGTTGTTTTAAATGTGCTTTCTTAATAAAGTTTGAGTTGAGTTAAGCTGAGTTTGTTGAAACATATCACTGCTTGGTCATAGTGATGGTTTCTACATTTGGAGAAAAAGCCTGAGTCATGATGTGGGGGATGTTTTCCCCACAACTGGTACCTGAAATCAAAGTTATAATGTAAAAGGATATTATGTGGAAAAAAGGGTCTTTAAAATGAAAACGTTCTGTAAATATAGCCAGAAGTGGCAGAAGGAGACCATGGAGTGGCCATCACAGAGCTCTGACTGCAGTGCCTTACAGAATGAGGGTGCATTAAGGTGTCCAGATCTCCCAGATAAATAAAGTGGAAAAACAAGGAGGCTAATGAGGGATCGTTTGGAACGCAAACATCTTTACAGCTGTTCATTTTTCATGCAACTCACTGTTAGCGGTGCTTTACATCAGGTTTCCTTTTGTATTGAAATAAAATATAATTTTGTCAAACTTCACAGAAAGCTCTCTGAGACTCCCTGTCACTGTCCTCACCAGTTATAAACTGTATTTGTATTTTAGCTGACTTTAGGAAGAGGGATTGCTGAATATTTTTTATACTTTTATATTTTAACCCAGTTAAATGCAGGACCTACAGTTCGAGACACATGGAGACATGTGGTCACCTTAGTGTGTAGCGGGGAACTTGGCCATGCAGGGTTCTACCAAGTAATAACTTATCAGATAAACTTTTGAACTAATGAAAAAAAAAAAAGTAAGAAAGTTTTTTTTTTTCTGAATCCCATCTGACTCAAAACAAAAAATATTCAGTCTGGTTTAAAGTCAGAGAAAAAACATGCTCACGATGCTTTTAAAAGTTTGAGTCAGTATCTGATTTAAATGTTGTTGTATGATCACTATTTATTTTACTATCACACAATATAAAAATATGTTTAATTGTGAAACAAACTAGTTAACTGAATCCTTTATGTGTGGGTGCCTGACCTTCTGCTGGAGGAGGAAGTTCAGCTGCTCCAGCCACTCCTGGTCCCTGACCGTCTCTGTGCAGGTGGCCGTCCTCTGCAAGGTACGATAGCAAACATACGTTATGGCAGGAGACTGGAAAAAATGCATATAATGGCAAAATCATTATGCTTCAGATTTATCTTCAGGCAGCGGTCGTTATACTGAAGGCCTTGCTGTGAAAGAAGGTATGAAGGTGTGATCTTCAGTGAGGCAAATTACCACTGTATCTTACATCAACCTTTGGGGGTCATATGCTCGAGGGCAGAAATGTAGCTTCACACCTCAGAGGACCTTGAAGCAGCTCTGAGGACTCTCCGGTGGTATGCATACCTTCGTACCCCTAAACAGAGTTCCCCTTGTTACTGCTAATGAACGGTGCAGAGACACACGGCACGTATGTCCAAATAGGCACCTATGTAGTGACTGTTAACCTTAAACCTCCTTTGTCACTGGTGAAGATGTTGGGATAAATACTTTACTGCATTTCAGGTTTAAAACGTCCTTAAGTTTTACAGCGACATGAATTCTATTAAAGAAACATAAATGGTAGAAAGCGTTATATAAACTGACTGATTGGCAACAAGCTTCAGATGCAAAGTTGACAGTTGTCAGATATTCTGCATTGCCTTATTACTGTCAGTATCACCTTGGTGGAGGAATGTTTCTGTGTCTTTCTGCAGGATTATGCCAGAGCCAGCAGTTCTGAGACCTGGTAGCAGGTTGGGAGATGGGAAAGGAAGAGCCCATAAAAATTTGATGGTAATATGGATTACTTTCTTTCAGAAATGCCTATTGGGCTGTTTGCCTTGGTTCATGACTGAGCTTCACCCGTTTCCTCCTAGTTTATTATACCATCCATGGCTACTATTTTTGCTCTAACAAACCTCTGCATAATTTGGGGTGATCCGGCTGACTTGTCAGGGTTTGGATGCAGGAGCTCTGAGGGTTTGACTTTTGAATCTGGCAGTGAGAGGTTTTTACCTGCATGTTTATTGCTTGAAACATCCGGTGCTAAATAGTATCTTTGGACCAGGGTTGTTTTCTTCTTGCCTTTTGGATTATCTAATCTGTATTTTATAATATCTCAGAATATATTAAAAAAACAACAACCTTAGAATAAACCTTAATCCACTACAATAGTTGTGTGATGATTAATTTGGATTATTATATGTTTTAGGTGTGTTTTAATACTGTTAATAGAAAAGTGGTGAATTGCTATTATTTAAAAAATAGACTAATAGGTTGGACAAAGAGTAAATTGTGAGAAAAAAAACAGCGAGAAAACAGATTGTGGCTGCATCTTTGAAAACGTTTAAAAGAACCGAGTAACACTGCTCATCCACCCTTGGTAGATATATAAGAAATAACTGACCCTTCATCTAACATTAGGGTGTAAAACGAACTGGCCTGGCAATTAGAGCCTTATTACATCTGGATCATTAGCTCCACAACAAGTTACCCAGGGAGTCTGGAGCTGCTCAGGCCTGCGCTGCCTTGCACACCATGGAACGGAGTGCAGCATGATGTAAGAGGGGAAATATGAGAGCAGAGGGTATTTTTCAACACACAAACACACATTCTCTGCATGCATGCAGCTACATCCCATTATAATCAGAGTTTTGTTTATACATCCATATACTTTTGTGCTGAAAATATCAGCATGGTGAGTTGCGGGCAGAAAGCTGTAGTGTTTAGAAGAGAACCTGAGCCAACAATCTGATGTATTACGACCAACTCAACACTGAGCAAAAAACACAGACACAACTGCAACAAAACTAAAAAAAGATTGGGCTGTTAGCAACTTTAGTGACAATTAATAGAGTTTGCCCTGTTTTGTAGTGTTTAGGCCTGTTTCTGTCCCAGACATATCTATGGGATCAGCTTTAATTATGACATCTGGAGTTTACTATTACCTTCTCTGACAAAAAAAGCATTTATGGATCAGTGCAAGGGATGCTAGTTATTGATTAATTTATTAATCTAAAGTTGATTGATCTGATCGATCGACTTACTATCACCTGATAAGGGACCATTTACCGAAAAATTTGTTTTATCTTGTATCACAAAGATCTTTGTGTAATATGAAGGGCTTTTTTTTAACTATATGTTAAATAATTTATTGTGGCAGCTGCATGAAATGTCTGAATAAATAAAAACAGTTGTCTTAAACATGATTAAACTAGACATATTTAGAAGATTTAACAAAAGAGGAACCTAGTATAGGCTGCACTGTGGTGCAGTTTTTAGCACTGCTGCTTTGAAGGAAGAAGATTCCGGGTTCGATTGCCGGCCCAGGGTCTTTCTGCATGGAGTTTTAATGTTCTCCCAGTGCATGCGTGGGTCCTCTCTGGGGACTCCAGCTTCCTCCCACAGTCCAAAAAGTTGAATTTTAAGTTAAACGGCATCTCTAAATTTACTTTATGTAAGTGTGCATGGTTATGTGTCTCCATGTTCCCCTGTGATGGACTGGCGACCTGTCCAGGATGTACCCTGCCTCTCGCCAATAGACTGCCGTAGACAGGGACAGGCCCCACCGCAACCATGACGGAATAAAAGGGAGAAGGATGGATGGAAGGAACCTATTAGCTTATCGAATAAAAAACAGACAATGGTAAAAACTTACTAATGTCCAATGTCCATAGATATAAATATATCACTGACAAGGTATGTCACTGACATACTGTCAGACTATTTGACACTTTGTTTCAATAAAGTTGATGCTAACTGTGATGTAGCTCTCTTAGTGAATTCCAACTTTGTGGTGGTAGCATTGATTTTAAACCAGTGGTTCTGGTTACTCTTAAGTTAAAACTTTACTCTACAGTATGAGCTGCACCAACACACAAAATCAGAGTCCCCACGCCATCAGACTGTACAACGCCTCACTGGGGGCGAGAAGGCGACACAGGACAGGGGGAAGGAGTAGCAACACTTGTATTTTTTATTTTTTCTGTTAAATGTGAACTCCATATTTATTTGTATTTGTATTTTGCTTAATTTTAATTTAATTTAACTTAATACTTTTTTGTTGCTTAATTTTAACTTCATTTAACTTAATACTTTTTTGCCCTGTAAGCTGCTGGTAAACTTAATTTCCGGAGGGAGTCTTCCCAAGGGATCAATAAAGTTCTGTCTAAGTCCAAGTCTAAAACCTTCCCTTGTCACTGTGTTTGTTTCCATCATGTTTTTTTCTATCATGTTCTATCATTTGCATAATGCCCTGCACTTTTCTATCATTATATCCTCAGCTTACAATTATAGCAGATAGGTTAATGCCACTATGTAATGCAGCATGGTTACACGGTGCTATTTAGAGATTAAATAGTGTAAATAATCCGGATTGGACTCTGGATTGATTCATCCTTCTGCTCTAGTATGCCTCCACTCTGGCATTATTTCTTTTGCAAATACCAGTGAGGCTCCTCTTCAGAATGAACAGTGATGCCCTCTAGTGGATTGAGGTAATATTACAACACTGGGTGGACCCAATTTTATATTTATAAACCATTAATTGTTAACTAAAAGTCCATTATAAGTTTATATCCCTCCTCAGAGCTTCTATGCTTCTTCCTGTTTTTCCTCTCTACTGTCGCTGCAAGCATGCTCTCCGTGAGAAATTGCTGCTTTGTTAAGATAAAAATGAGTGAAATTCCAGATGCCAGGATCAGAGAAGAAAGTTTCAGATTCTGAGGAAGAAATCTCTCATGTCCAATGGCAATATGAATGGGATGATGGGAGCAGAGAAGCTTTCGTTCAGTAGCTGAGAACAAAACCCTGATTCGGTAAACTCCTCTTGGAAAACCAAGGAAATAAATAAACAAGCATCTCCCATTTGAATATCACTATAACTGACGTTGCTAAGGTGATTTCATGTGAAAGCCTAATGATGAATATGATGTAACTGGTGAGATGATTGTTCCCGTATTTGAGTCTCTTCCAAGGTGATAACAGAGACCTATTCTCAAGTGAGATCTGCTCTCTGTCATACAGGGGTGGAGCTGTTTGGCAATGGCTTCAAATTGGTTTCAAGTGTGAGTAAGTGCCTGGTAGGCTCTTTCTAATCTTGTGATAGATGGGAGGAAGTCCCCAGAGATCCCAGGCTGATTGTTACACAGTTGTTAATTGATGAATTTGCTGCGGATGATCTATGGGGGAGAGAGGACTCTCAGAGTTGGAAAGTAGTTGGAAACACTTCTGCAAGCATGCAGCAGTCAAGAAGAAGAACTTCAATTCAGAGTATAAAGTTTCTGTGACAGGGGCTGCTCCCCCCAAAGATTGTTTATTGTCCTACAGCAGTAAGAAGAGGCTACTTTAATATGGAGAGAATTTTGGTCCATTTTTGTTTCAGAGAACAGATTTTGTCATTAAACATAAAAATAGAAAAATGTTAGATAAAAGGAAAGTAAAAAAAAACATATAAACTTTATTCAAAAAATATGCTGAATCAAAAAAAAGGCTTTGAGTTTTACTTTGCTGTTTCCTAGATTTTTTATTTAATATCTTATTTTTTAAGAACTGTTTTAATACAAAGAAGGTCTTGCGAGCCTGCTTGGGATAAACGTGACGGAAAATGGATGGATGGATGTTTTAATACAGATGTTACATTTCTGATTGTTATTAATTATTTGTTTTGTTTTTTTTTAGCTTTTCAAATGGTGTTTCCCAGATCACATTCTCTACACTCCAAGCTGAAAAACAAACGCTAAATAAAAATGCTTAGCCAATAGAAATGTTTCTAACATCTAGGCAGGCCAAAGGCTGCCCCCAGAAGTAAAGAGAACATGATCCTGAAAAAGCAGATGGAAAAGAATGCAATTTATACAACTCAATATGAAAAGGATTTTCAAAATCTGAAAAGTGATTTGAAAAATAAAAAATAAAATAAAGCTGGAAAAATGCAAACATGAAGATTTTAAAAATAAAATCTAAACTACATCAAAGTTACTCCAAAAAACGTTTTAGATCAAGAAGTTTTTTGCTTGTAATGTATTAACGGAAAAAAATGTCCTCAATAAAATAAAACAACAAAACAATATCCTACAGAAAAAAGAAAATATCCGTCATTTTTTTAACACAGTTGAAATGCTAACAAATACTAGTTTTTGTTAAGCTGGTATGTTTTAAGCACTTCTGCATGGACACTGAGGTCCTCCTTGGTCTACATGGATGTTTCCCTTCGGGGGAAACATACTAAGGTCAGGGCAGTCATTTATTTTCCATCGTCACACACAAAGCACCAAAACCTGTGAGCTGATTTTGATGCTACAATACTTGCAATAATGCCAATCACAAACTTTCAGGATGCTTCAAAATTTTAAAGAACAAAATCCCTCCGTGTGTTTAAAGCTCTGGAGGCTTTCTAAACATATAGATCCTACTGAAGTCAGTGTTAGCTCAGAAGAAAACTGCTGTCCTTTGGCCTTACCTGATCCGTTTCCATTATATCTGCCAGATCGTTTTCTGACATATTGAGGATGGAGGCAGCGATGGACTTGGCTTTGATCATGGATATGGCTGAGGGGCCGCTCCTCGCTGCCACAGAAGCGGCCTGCCTCTGCCTCCTCCTGCTCATCAACTGCTGTTTGACCTCTTGAACGTCTAAAAGTATTTCACTGGCCAGGGTCTAAGAAGGGAGGAGAAAAAGAGAAAAAAGAAGGAGGAGAAGAGGATGATGAAATGGATGTAGAAAAACAAGAGGGATAGCGCTGCCCGGCGGATGAATAAATGAAATTGATCAAGCATGCGCCAGAGAGGCCTAG